AATTGGAACATCTCATTTTACTGGACTATGGGCTGAAATTTAACCAGCTTCCATCAGCTTTCGCTTGTAAGCTAAATACAAATCGAACAAAGCAAAAATATACATGCATCTGTTTGGGATTTATTTATTTATTTTAAATCGGCGACATCACATCTTGCAGCTACTTAAAGTGGCTCTGCTGACACTTTCCTGTCAGGAATGGGGATGTGGGGGTCATAGATTTAAACCCAGACTAAATGTTTTATTTAAAGTGACACTTTTGCAAAATGCGCGGTGCCAACTCGATTCTGCAGGGAGAGGGAGAGAGAGGCCTACTTGTTTCACTGTCAAACCCTCACCTCTCTTCGAAGGCAGAGAAGAGACGTGCATCCAGAATGTTTTCCTCCGGCTCCCAAGTGCTGTACCTACGTCACAACAACCGAGAGGAGAGGTGTTTGGCGACACACAGACACACACTGAGAAACGGTCATTTGTCAATGCGCAAAAACACGCGCTCCTGACACTTTTATCAAAGCAATCTCGCTTTGCTCGCTCTGCAATTACAGACTACGTAGCAGGACAGTGACGCATGGTGAACTCAGCCATTGCTAAAGCTAGGGTAGACTTCAACACATCCCAACGGGCTGAAAGCGAGATGTGTTCAAACACCTGCCAGGTGCGCACAAGCCAGCAGGCGCACGGCACACGGCAACGCCGTACACCGAGTGCGTGAAATGCATTTTATTAAAAAAAAACAAAACAAACACACACACATCCACAAAGCTGAGTAACGCCACACTGTGTGATGGTGCAGTTGTGCGAGCGGCCAGGATGGAGCGCTGTCCTTCACAGCTTCGGTTATTATACTCACTTCTGAGACCAGCCCTTCCATTTCACGAGATATTCCCAACGACCCTGCAAAAACAGACCCACAACAGAGTCAGGTTATCAAATGTCTACATGTCGACACTGCAAACGCACATGTTTGCGTTAGAGACGCAGAGACACAGCCTGCGAGTGGAGGAAAAAAAAAACAGCGAATACCCGTCTGATTCGCCGTTTAATGATGGACTCGGCTGCGAAGACGCTCTCACCGACAGCCGAGAGCTCCATGGTTCACCATGCACCTCGTTTATTTCTGTGTTTTTTATTATTTTTGGCTTCCCCTCGTCCTCTTCGGGTTGTTTAATTCCGCACATCCCATAATACGCAATCTGGGGAGGACGTCATCACGTCTTTTTCTGTTGCCAGGCGCCGCGGTCGGTAGGACGGATCGTGGCGGAGCGCATTGGCTCAGTTGTTGCTACGTGCTCCGGATTTCTGAGTGAAGGGGCGGAGTCTTGTGCTCTGGCTGCTGTACAGGAATGTCTGGCACAGTGGACTAAGCAAAGTCAGAGGCTCTCGGAGCGGGTCTACTGACCCCCCCAAAGGTCCCTGAGGGGGGTACAAAGAGCCCTCCCCTACACGGCGAGAAGAAAACGCTTAATTTCACTAGAATAAAAAAGAAACGCAAACAAAGATGGAAGACAGTAACTCCTTTATTTAATGAAAGATTTTATACTTAAAAAGCTCAAATAAAGGTGTAAAAAATCCACTAAATATAAGTCTATAAAAAGCAGAAGCATGAAGTATTCAGCGCTAAAATAACAGGCTAATAATTATTATGATAATAATGACATGCAGATGCAAATGTATTAAATGAAACCGTATCAAGCTTGAACTGAGTAACCCCGGGTTACTGTTTTCACTGATCTACATATCTAAATTATTTTTTAAATGACCTGTTTATTATAAAAACACAATTTAATGTTAAATGTAAGCAGTGTCGTGTTCACACGCCGAGTCTCTAAAGAAGGTTGTTCCCACTTGTTCCCATTGCTCCGTCCTTGAAACACTTTCACTGTCTGTGTCCATAATTCAGCCAGCATGGCTCAGATTACATAATTAGGATAATAGAAATATTATTTCAAAATACGAATTTTAAAATTGTCTGCTTTTAGCGGCAATTCCGGGACCTACCCGCGTAAATCTTTATGGCAGAAGAGAAATCTCTGGCACATAAAATGCAAAACAAAGTCGGTTTGTTTTAATTTGCTATTTCAATGGCAACAGTTATGGAAACGATTGTTACAAGAAGATCTAAAGAGTATGAAGAGCAAATTTACGCTTGAATTTTAAGTTCTGCAAATCAACGCACAAGCAGCACAGCATCCTGTCAGAGTTTATCCTGGGAAGATATGAGAGGAAACGACATGTCAGGAACTTTGAAAGTTTGAGGAGAAAAAACTATCCAAGTGAAATTTCCAAACAAAATTGTTAAATTTAAACGATAATCAGATTTTATCTGCTAACAACATTTTCCATGCCCATACAGGTCAGTGCTTACAAAGACTTTATGTCAGCTTTCACATGTTTAAATAAGCGTTTTAAGATCAGGACTTGACGCAAAATATAAAGTTACGAAAAACAATTTTCTGAAGACACTTCTAAATATGAATCTGTGCATTTCCTCTTTGTCAGGAATGATAAAACATTACACATTTTATTTACAGTATTTTTGGATAATAATACACTCCCACCAATTAGTATAGAATAGAATAGAATCGAATAATCCTTTAATTGTCCCACAAGGGGAAATTTGGTTGTAACAGCAGCCAGAAAGACACATATACAAACAAACAGGACACAGAACAGAAACATACACAATGTTTTTCTTACATATTTACATTAAGGACAATGGTTACTATAAACAGACTGTATGGGCAAACTAATTAAAAAAACAATTACATTAACCTCTGATCTTAATTAAAATCGCGGTGTTTTGTTGAACGCAGGATGGTGCAAAGCTAAAGCTAGAAATTGGGCTGAATCACGCACAAAACTTCTTCACAATTCAACCAAAACCACCTGTCATCCAGCGGGAAATCGTATTTGGCATCGCTGTCAAAGAATGCTGCTCGCTGTGGGATTTGGGTATTATCGTGGTTTCCTCCTGAAACCTCTTGGTCAGCTGCATGAGGCAGTGATCTGCCGTCGTCTCTATCATAATGCTAAATCATAATAATCTCTTTTTGGGGAACTGCTGGGACTCTTGGACCGTCAGAGCAGCTGCTGGAGTTGTTCTGGGCCTTCTCTCCGACTCTGGTGGGCGAATGTGGA